GGATTGCATTAAATGCTGCAGAAAAGAAATGTATTTGTTACTTCATACAAAGAGGCATTAAATAATAGCAATGCTTGTAAAATTAGCAAAAAATAAAATTTCTTTTTATATTTCCTTTTTAGAGAAAGGGTTTTGCTGTGTTACTGAGGCTGGAGTACAGGTTCCAATGTGTCTGGTGGTTGAAATTTGCAAGTGTGGAGCTTTGAAAGCCTTAAGTGATAGTTGACAAAAAGAGTTAAACTCTGTAAAATATTTAAAGAGATTTATTCTGAGCCAAATCTGAGTGACCATGGCTCGAGGCAGTCTCAAGAGGCCCTAAGAACATGTGGCTAATGTCTCATGCCTCCGTGTGAAGAGATCACCAAACAGGCTTTGCGTGAGCAACAAGGCTGTTTATTTCACCTGGGTGCAGGCGGGCTGAGTCTGAAAAGAGAGTCAGCAAAGGGTGGTGGGATTATCATTAGTTCTTATAGGTTTTGGGATAGGCAGTGGAGTTAGGAGCAATATTTGCGGGCAGGGGGTGGATCTCACAAAGTACATTCTCCAGGGTGGGGAGAATTACAAAGAACCTTCTTAAGGGTGGGGGAGATTACAAAGTACATGGATCAGGTAGGGTGGGGCAGAAACAAATCACAATGGTGGAATGTCATCAGTTAAGGCTATTTTCACTTCCTTTGTGGATCTTCAGTTGCTTCAGCCTAGCTGGATGTATACGTGCAGGTCACAGGGGATATGATGGCTTAGCTCGGGCTCAGAGGCCTGACAGCTAATGTGACCAAGCTGCAGCTTGGTTTCACATGTTTTACGGAGAAATAAGATACCAATCAATACATAACATAAGGTAATGGTTGGGTCAGGAAAGCTGGAAAGAGCTTCTACATCAGGGTGGATTTAATAGGTGATTGGTGTTATGCCACGACTACGCCAATTGTCAAGTTCCAACCCCAGCTGAGGTCCAAGGGGAGTGGATGGATGGGTGAATAGCTGAAAGAACACTAGTGGGGGTGGGGGGCGTGTAGGCAAGTGAAATGTAGTTTTATTCAGCAGCTCTCTCATCAGCAGCTTAATCGCACGAGCCCTCCCACACTGTCCAGCTTTATCTCGACTGTCTGCTCTGGCTATGTGGCTCCTGTTGCCCCCATGCCTGCAGCTGCACTCCCTGGCCTGCAAAGCGAGGTCTGTCAGGGTCAGCAGCTTAACTCTCCGTCTGGGCAAAAGCTGGTTCCTGGCTCAGGTCCCCTCTGCCCACCTTAAGGGCAACCGCTCTCCCTTAGAGGGGTTAGTAGCATTACTCTGGGCACCAGTGCACGAACCAGGTCACGCTGTGCTGAACTCAGCCCTGTGCACAGTGTCAGTAGGGCAGTTATACCTTCAACAGGTAACAGTGGCTCAGATTCAAATATGAACTTATGTAAACAAGCTATATAACAAGTGGAACACGCGCCTGTATCCTAAACTCGCTGAGTCGCTCTGGCCCGGATATCCACCTTGGCCTATTCCTTGACCAAAGCACATCCATATACCTTACAATTGGCAATTGGTTAAAAGAGTTATTATATAAAGACCTGGAACCAACAGAAAGCAGTGTCTGGGTTTAGATAAAAGGTTGCAGAGACCAGGGTTCTTGTTATGCAGATGAAGCCTCTATGTAGCAGGTTTCAGAGAGAATAGATCGTAAATGTTTCTTATCAGACTTAAAACAGGTGTCAGGTTCTTAGTTAATTCTCTCCAGCATCAGGGAAAAGACCTGGAAAGACAAGGGGATTCGTCACAGAATGTCGATTTTCCCCCGAGAAGAAATAGCGCTGCAAAGCCATTTCAAAATACGTCAAAGAAATATATTTGACTGGGCACAGTGGTTCACACCTGTAATCCCAGCACTTTGGGAGACCAAGGCGGGTGGATCAACTGAGGTCAGGAGTTCAAGACCAGCTTGGCCAACAGCGTGAAACCCCGTCTCTACTAAAAATTAGTCAGTGTAGTCGCACACGCCTGTAATCCCAGCTACTTGGGAGGCTGAGGCAGGAGAATCACTTGAACCCAGGAGGCGGAGGTTGCAGTGAGCCGAGACTGCGCCACTGCCCTCTAGCCTGTGCGACGGAGTGAGACTCCGTCTCAAAATATATATATGAGTATATATGTATATATATTTATTTAAGAATATATATGTATATGTGTGTGTGCATATATACATATATGGATAAAATACTTCAATGTCTTTCGGGGCTTGCTGCCATGTTGGTATCTTATTGCTGCAAAAAGTCTGTTTCCTCAGTCTTATGGTCTCTGTTTAATGTTAATGCTGGTCAGCTGTGCCTGTATTCCAAAGGGAGGAGGGTATAACGAAGCCTGTCCCACCCCATCTTCCCATCATGGCCTGTGTTAGTTCTTCAGGTTAACTTTGGCATGCCTTTGGCCCAGAGGAGGGGTCCACTCGGTAGGGGGGCTTGGAACTTTTTTTTTTTTTTTTTTTTTTGAGAGTCTTGTTCTGTTGCCCAGGTTGGAGTGCAGTGGCATAATCTCTGCTCACTGTAACCTCTGCCTCCCGGGTTCAAGAGATTCACCTGCCTCAGCCTCCTGAGTAGCTGGTTTTATAAGCACCCATCACCACGCCTGGCTACTTTTTGTATTTTTAGTAGAGACGGGGTTTCACTATGTTGGCCAGGTTGATCTTCAACTTCTGACCTCAGGTAATTTGCCTGCCTTGGCTTCACAAAGTGCTGGTATTACAGGCGTGAGCCACTGCACCCGGCCTTAAAAAAGGAAGTTTCTATGTGCTCGAATTAAGAGTTTTTTGTTTTTAATTTTTTTGAGACAAGGTCACACTCTATCATCCAGACTGGAGGGTAGTGGTGCGATCATGACTTACTGCAGCCTTGATCTTCTAGGCTCAGGTGATCCTCTCACCTCAGCCTCCCAAAGTACTGGGATTACAGCTGTGAGCCACTGAGTCTGGCAAGAGGTTCTTCATGATCATCTAGAAGTGAGGAAGATGAGACATTAGTTGTTTCTGGAAAGAAGAATTTGCCTGAATAAACTCCACATTGATATTCTCCATGTCAGATCCACTCTTACCAATTATAATGAGAATGAAAATCTAAAACTGAGATGAAAGCAAAGGTCACTCTGAAAGCAGGTGGGAATTTAAGCAATTCAAAACGTGGCATTTCAGCTCTCAGTCTTACTTAAGAATCTAAATAGCACTCAACTGTTTTATACTTTTTGAAATTGAACTAATGTCTGTCAAGGTCTAATCTTTGGACCAGTAGTGGTCACTGAGTAGGGTCCATGCTTTCTCTGGTTTGTCTTTTTTTTTTTTTTTCGAGACTCATCCTGGCTAACCCGGAGAAACCTCGTCTCTAGTAAAAAATACAAAAAACTAGCCGGCGAGGTGGCGGCTCCTGTAGTCCCAGCTACTCCGGAGCCTGAGGCAGGAGAATGGCGTAAAACTAGAAGGGCGGAGGCTTGCATGGAGCTGAGATCCGGCCCTGGCACTTCGGCCCTGGCGCGACAGAGAGAGACTTCCGTCTCAAAAAAAAAAAAAACAAAAAAGTTCAGCCCCCTACCGAGTGAGCCCCTCCTCTGGGGCCAAAAGCGCATACCAAAGTATACCTGACGAACCTAACAAGGGATCCTCGCCATGATCGATAAAGATGGGCGTGGGGACAGCTCGTTTACCCTCCTCCCTTTGGAAACAGGCACAGCTGAACAATGACATTAAACAGCGACCTCATCAAGACTGGAAACAACGACTTTTGCAGCCAATAGATGACCAACATGAGCAGACAAGCCCGAAAGACATTGAAGTATTCTATATCCATATATGTAATGCACACACATATACTCATATAATTTATTATTAAATAAAATATATAACATATACTACTCATCATTATCATTTTGAGACCGGAGTCCCTCACTCCCGTCGCACCAGGCTAGAGGCAGGCATTGGCGCATCCTCGGACATCACTGTCCACCCCGCCTCCTGGGTTCAAGTGATTCCCTCCTGCCTCCAGCCTCCATAGTATCTGGATTCACAGGCGCATGTTGCGACTACACTGACTAATTTTTAGTAGAGACGGGGTTTCACAGCTGCTTGACCAAAGCTGGTCTTGAACTCCTGCACCGCAGTTCGCAATCCACACCGCCTTGGTCTCCCACGGTGCTGGATCAACAGGTGTGTACCACTGCTGCCTCAGTCAAATATATTTCTTTCGACGTAATTTCGCCAACTGAGCTTGCACGCTATTTTCTTCTCGATTGGAAAATCCGACA